CAATTGATCATCTTCTATCGGGTTGCACGTTACAGAAAGCCACTGAATATAAAACCCGTCATGACTAGTGGGCCAATATCTGCACTGGAAAATCTCTACAACCTCTACCGGAAGGAAACTGAAGGAAATTGGTATGGATACCATCCAGTCCCAGTTATTTTATAGGACTACACAATACACACAAGACAGAACAATCAAAGGTAATTGCCCACACATCATTATTTGAGACCGCAAACAAAAACTGCCTCTTTATTGATATGGCAGTCCCAGCAGACTGCAATGTATCTTTGGAGATCTTCAAAAAGCTATCAAAATACAACGATCTTGAAATCGAAATTTCAAAAATGTGGTACATGGGAACACCACAATCCCTGTTGTAGTTGTTTCGGATTGGTTGCAAAAGAATCCAGCAGACTAATTGAAGGGATTCCTGGAAGTCCATGCCTTAAAGAAATACAAAAAAATATTCTCACGGGTACAGCCCACACATTACGAAGGGCTTTATCTATGTAAAATATGTTTGTGTTTTTTTTTGTTTTTTTTTTAATTGGTCAGTGGAAAATGTCATGATGTCATTTCTAACCTTAGGTCGAGGACACATGGTCCAGTAGTAAAAGCGTTGGTTGAATCCAATGACTTGATCCAAAGAGTTGTGAGTTCAATACCTGACTAAAGCTGTCCCTTGGGGAGTTGAGTTAAAGGGAGATAACTGATACTGAGGTATGGCACGTGAACCTAGAAAAATCTACCCCGGTGTTCAGTTCGAAATTCCAGTCACCTGAAGAAGGCCGGAGCGTACAACGGCTGAAACGTCGTGAATATTCTATGAAGATAAGGGTAACAGTCCAAACAATGTAAATAGTCTAAGCTCAAAACACTTCAAATACATTGGTGTATAGATTAGTTATGACAAGTTTATTATAGGAGATAAAGAAATCTAATACAGTTAGTTTAGTCCATCACAACAAGACGATGCAGAACCAAGATATTAATATGACATGTCCGTAAATAAAATGATCAGATCAAAACTTTCATATGGATGCCATGCAAAGCGTCAAACTTGTTCAGAAATGCCTAAACGCTCAGCCGCATACAATTATTTTCTCAGATCAAATGATTACAAACGGTTTTGATTGAATCAACCGTGTAGATCGTATTGAACACCGTCCTTCTTCGAACCTTGTGAACTCTTGCTACAGAAGCACAAAGAACTGGTACCAAATAAGAGAAACCCTAACTTTCAGACTTTCAGCAACCCAAACGAGATAAATGGATGGCACAAGTATCTCGAAGAAAAAAAAATGATGACATTATCAAGATGCTCATGTTCTACAATACTTACAAAAAAAAAAACAAATAAAAAAAAAAAACGAAGATCTAGAAGGAAAGCTCCCTCAATGTTGGAAAGAGCGATAACAGTTAGTGGACTTAAGAAACCTACATTTCCTGAAAAATTCTTTTCGTAGAAAATTTTATAAATTTCAACCAACGGTGTTAATACGATCAATAAATGCGAAACGTTTCCTTATAAGGAGAAACGGTTAATAGTACCATTACCATATCCACAAACGCTATGTCTACGATACTGTGCATTCTTCACCCATAAATATAACAACTTATAAAGAAAATAAATATATGAGAGTTTTTGTGCGTACGTGTGTAATTCATTAAAGGTTTTAAAATAAATTACAATGACACATTTTGCAAAAGTGTGTTTTGAAACCTGCTAAAATCTTTATTGGTATTCGCAGAGCGTAACGGTTATCAGCGCAGAAGGTGGGACCGGCGAGCCGAGTTCAAATGCCGACTGGGCGTTTGACTTCGCACAAATACCCTTAGGAAGGTAAGAATCCATTTTCGCTTCTAAATTCCAATGTATAACACCTGAAGAAGGTCGGAGCGTATCACGGGGGAAACATTGTGAATATGGCAATACAGTAGAGTACAACAGCCCGAATTGTGTAATTACTCTGCTTTTGGGCAAATCTCACTCCTATAAAGATAAAGACTGGCAGGAACCAGATACTTCTTCTTCTTCTTCTTCTTCTTCTACATATTATTATTATTATAGTCATTATTATTATTATTATTATTATTATTATTATTGTTACAAATAAATAAATGAAATAAAATATGAAATAATAATATTTAAAATTATAAACAAAATAAAACAATAACATAAAAACGTTGTATTAAATAAAAATTGAAAATAATAAAAATACTCCCAGCATACAAGAAAAAATGTACATCCCGCCAAAATACGTTCAATCTGCGAACCTTGGTACGAACTCTTTGTGATATGGCATGTAATACTAAGGAGTAAATTCTCCCTTTTATCCCATGTGCCATAAAACAATTGTAATCTAAAAAGTACACATACCAATACACACAAAAAATATGAATAAATTGTATGAAATTAACATACAATTTACAATGCTTTTCTTGTTATTTGTGTACGTTTTATTTTCTGTCAATTATGCTTTTATCCCCGTGAACACAAAGCTAATTTCTGCTGCTATGATGTGAGTGAATCCCCCAAAACTTTCTGCGTCGATAGAACGACTATTTTTCAGCATGTTTAATTATCCATTTTATATATGAGTTTCATTTGACGTCTGGACGCTCAGAGGATAGAGTTTAATTGAGAATGGTACCGTCCGTTGTATATGAACGAAATCCAAGAGCGAAATGAGGATGGTAGCCTTTTTTTTTTCTTTTAAGTACTGAAAGTTACCAGACAGTTATTTCCTCATTGAACTATGTTTTGAATTGGAAGCCGATAAGATATAATTATTTACTTTTCCTTGTGCCCGTTTATATTCCGTCTTTGTTTTCTGCGAATACTTAGATATCATTGACAGGTTACCTTGCGGTATCATAGAAGATCAACATATCCACATTTGCGACATCATAGACAATCAACATATCCACACTTGTGATATCATAGAAGATCAACATATCCACACTTGTGATATCATAGAAGATCAACATATCCACACTTGTGATATCATAGAAGATCAACATACCCACATTTGCGACATCATAGACAATCAACATATCCACACTTATGATATCATAGAAGATCAACATACCCACATTTGCGACATCATAGACAATCAACATATCCACACTTGTGATATCATAGAAGATCAACATATCCACACTTGTGATATCATAGAAGATCAACATATCCACACTTGTGATATCATAGAAGATCAACATACCCACATTTGCGACATCATAGACAATCAACATATCCACACTTGTGATATCATAGAAGATCAACATACCCACATTTGCGACATCATAGACAATCAACATATCCACACTTGTGATATCATAGAAGATCAACATATCCACACTTGTGATATCATAGAAGATCAACATATCCACACTTGTGATATCATAGAAGATCAACATACCCACATTTGCGACATCATAGACAATCAACATATCCACACTTGTGATATCATAGAAGATCAACATATCCACACTTGTGATATCATAGAAGATCAACATATCCACACTTGTGATATCATAGAAGATCAACATACCCACATTTGCGACATCATAGACAATCAACATATCCACACTTGTGATATCATAGAAGATCAACATATCCACACTTGTGATATCATAGAAGATCAACATATCCACACTTGTGATATCATAGAAGATCAACATACCCACATTTGCGACATCATAGACAATCAACATATCCACACTTGTGATATCATAGAAGATCAACATATCCACACTTGATATCATAGAAGATCAACATATCCACACTTGTGATATCATAGAAGATCAACATACCCATTTGCGACATCATAGACAATCAACATATCCACACTTGTGATATCATAGAAGATCAACATACCCACATTTGCGACATCATAGACAATCAACATATCCACACTTGTGATATCATAGAAGATCAACATACCCACATTTGCGACATCATAGACAATCAACATATCCACACTTGTGATATCATAGAAGATCAACATATCCACACTTGTGACATCATAGAAGATCAACATATCCACACTTGTGATATCATAGAAGATCAACATACCCACATTTGCGACATCATAGACAATCAACATATCCACACTTGTGATATCATAGAAGATCAACATATCCACACTTGTGACATCATAGAAGATCAACATATCCACACTTGTGACATCATAGAAAATCAACATATCCATATTTGCGACATCATAGAAGATCAACATATCCACACTTGTGACATCACAGAAGATAAATATATCCCCATTTGCGACATCATAGACAATCAACATATCCACACTTGTGACATCATAGAAGATCAACATATCCCCATTTGCGACATCATAGACAATCAACATATCCACACTTGTGATATCATAGAAGATCAACATATCCCCATTTGCGACATCATAGACAATCAACATATCCACACTTGTGATATCATAGAAGATCAACATATCCACACTTGTGATATCATAGAAGATCAACATATCCACACTTGTGATATCATAGAAGATCAACATACCCACATTTGCGACATCATAGACAATCAACATATCCACACTTGTGACATCACAGAAGATAAAAATATCCACACTTGTGACATCATAGAAGATCAACATATCCACACTTGTGACATCACAGAAGATCAACATTAATTCTTTTACGTTTATTTACCACTTTCTGATTTGCTTCTTTAGCCGGATCTGGCACAAAGACATATTCAGGGAGCACTCAGTACTAATTGTCTTTTTAATCGATGAGTGTTTTCCTTGGTGGCACCGTAATGAATAGTGGCTCGGATTGAGTTCGAATTCCAGTCAAATCCATTACATTCACTTACGTGCTAATACCCTTGAGAAAGGTATGAATCCTCTTCTCCGCCAAGCTATGCGTAAATAGCAGAACAGTCCGAGTTCCTTGGATAGCAACTAGTCTACCGCAGAAAGAAATGGCAACCTACTGCTGTGAAAAAATTGAAAGATACATGACTAACGAGGCATTTTTTTTATTTAGTTCAGTATTTTATTTTTTATTCTTTCGAAAGACCCTATTGTCTTTAATAGCTTCGTTCGTTCATTTTCCCTTTTTTTCTTTGATTTGGTTTCAAGTTTTCATTACTTTTTACTTCAATTATTTATTTATTTTTTCCTTCAATTTTCCGTCTTTCTTTCTTTCTTTCTTTCTTTTAATGTTTGTTTTTTAATTTCTTTTTTCTTTTATGGCTCTTTTGACTTTTCCCCTTCAATAAACTTCCCTTTTTTCTTCTTCGGTGCACATTCTTTCTTTCTTTTTCCTTTCTTTCTTTCTTTCTTTCTTTCTTTCTTTCTTTCTTTCTTTCTTTTTCGTTTAATCGCTTCTTTGTCTTTTTTCCCTTCTATTACCTGCTCTTTTCCTTCATTCTCGACAATACACTTTTTCTTTCTCGCAGATACACATTTTCTTTCTTTCTTTCTTTCTTTCTTTCTTTCTTTCTTTTAATGACGTCATTCTTTCTCTTAATTGCTTCTTCTTTATCCTTTTTCCCTGATTCTTTCTTTCTTTCTTTCTTTCTTTCTTTCTTTCTTTCTTTCTTTCTTTCTTTCTTTTATTGACACATTTTCATAATACTCCATACATTTTTCTTCATTTATTATTACTTTCTTTCCTTCTTTTTCCTCTCCTACTTTCTTACCCATTGTTTTACAGATAAATTTCACATTCTCCCTTCGAATAATTTTAGCATTTCTCTTTACGTGACTTTATTCATTCAGTATTTATTTCTTTACTGTCGTTTGCTTTGACTTACATCTTTCCTTCTTCCTCCTGATATATATATATATATATATATATATATATATATATAAATTTTCCACTTTCTGTCTTTCTTTTCTTTCATACCTACTTTTCCTTTTTTTCTAATAAGGCTTTCTGTTTTCTTTTACTACTACTACTGCTAATAATACTACTACTACTAATACTACACTAATAATAATGATAATAATAATAATAATAATGATAATAATAATGATAATAATAATAATAATCAGCATTGCTTTTATCAGGCTTGTTACTGTCCTCCCTTGCTATAAAACTATCGAACTGGCACGTCGCAAATGGCGAGCAGGGATCGGCGAGAATTGCCTGTCAGAAAACTTGTCCATGAAAGGATTAGTTAATCAACTAAATAAACTCTTTTCACCAACAAGTCGAACCAGAATCCTAATATTATTACGCCTGCCATTCAGTGTTTTTTTTTCTCCCAGCCTCGTTTTCGCTTAGTCTTCCCGTCCGAATGCTCTTATGCATTGTTTTTTTAACCTTGTATCTTTTATTGATAAAGGACTCTGCTGGGGCTGGAGGATGCAGTGTGTAAAAAAAAAAAGAGAGAGAGAGAGAGAGAGAGAGAGAGTTTAAGAAATAAGAGAAAAAAAAAGAAGAACATTTTCGGGATATTTTCATTGCGCCCTTAGCAAAATTTTTCTTCAATTTTGCCTCCTTCCAATCACGTGATCTAATTACGACATCCTTCATCATCAAGTTTAGGCACGTAATCAACACAGTATGGTCCCATCTTTTCTGTTAATTCACCCAAATAATGTAAAATTACTCACCGCAAATATTAATTCACCCCTAGAAATTATAAATTTTCAATCTAAGTTTGATTTTTTTTTTCAAATTATATTTTTGTCCCTATTTTGAAATTATAAATTTCAAATCAAAATTTGTTTAGTTTGCCTGGGAACATCTCCAACCCACAGAATGGAAAGTTGCCAAAAAATCAGGGACTTATTCACATTTTGTAAGTGCGGATGATATTCGAGGTAACTACAAGGTACTTTTTACAATTAAAAAAAAAATTAAAAATCTATTTTGGCTTGTGTTATACAGGAATAAAGTGTCGCTTCCGACACTTGAGTTTGAACATAGATCGCCAGTGATCAACCACAGGCGATCCCATTATTGAATTGAGTAGCTCACGTGGCCATAGAGGAAAAGCATATATAGGAAGTCGTGTGACGACTAATTGTTCCTCATTTCTAGTCTATCCTCTATTACTATTCGAATCGCCATTTCTACTCTACCCTCTATTGCCAGACGGACTGCTATTCGCTACTCTATTCACTATACTATTTCTCTATTCGGATCACTATACGAATTACTATTCAAACGAGTATTATTGGGCAAGTACTATTAGTGTGAGTGATATTCGAAGGCGTCTGACACCAGTGTTGTTCAATGGCGTTACTATAAGTTGTATCTGTGATTTCAAAGTCTCTACTACAGCGAGCATTACGAAAGCGATAACGAGTATTCGTTGGCATCACAAAAGTGGCAATGAGGGTTCGTTGACATCAAAAAAGTTTGTATATCGAGGTGAGCGCGAACGGAAAACTCCAGACTTAGAAATGACGCACCCGAGTCGCCAACATTTAGGGCGTTCGCAAAGATCAACCCAACCGGAGTGAAATGGAAGGGCATCGCTCTGGGGGGATTTGGTGCGAAATTTAGTAAATGTAAATTCTTTTTATTTTGGAGTGAATTAATATTTTGTGGTGAATTAACAGAAAATATTCGTATGTTCGTATCGGAGTTCGTTCAGTTATCACCATTATCCCCTCGCCATCCTCATTGCCCACTCGCCATTATCCTGTTTAATGCAGATAAAAACCTATCCAGAGCCAATCTGGAATTTGAACTCCAAAAATATAGCATAGTGGTTAGACCATGGGTGACGAGATCGTTGTTCTCGAATCTCTAAATATACGGTAGAAGCAGCGGGCCATATGTGGCAGCAATATTCAAAGCCTGGACGAATGGTAGACTTATAAAAATGTAAGATAGATTCTGAAAAAAAAAAAAAGTCTAGCGCGACACAGTTTTACCAACTTTCTTAGCAGCTGACCTGGTGTCGAGAAAATCTTAACCCAAGAAAAAAATATCCGTGACGGTGCAGGCCGGGGAAAATGAGCAAAAGTCCTTATCTTAAGTTGCGAAAAAAATATCTACTTCCGCAATGTAGCTTCTCCGTCAGATAAGTTGCGTAGTATAACAAAAGGGTAAAAAAAGCGGTAAAACATTTCCTTTATAAACATTTTAGTGATCACGTGATAGCATTTACGATACTTTGCAACTATCAAAAATTGGTAAAAAAAAAAAAAAAGGTAACAGCTTTTAGTCGACCAGAACAACAACCCAGGTAAGTACGTTCATCCTTTCACCTGAACCGTCAATTTTTCCACACTTGCAATGGATTCGGTGTAGTCTGTCCACTTCATGTCAGCCGAGAATATTAGCACAAGTAGGCCCAACGAGTCTCTGTCCTAGAGGGTTAGCATCAGACATGCTGATAGGAGACGGGAAGGAGTCTCTGAGGTTTTAAAAGAAAAAATCAGCAATGAAATGCTTTATCCTAGAATGTTCGCAAACGTGAGAGAATATTTCTTAAATATTTAATAAATGGGTGGTTGGGATATATAAATATTTCAGGTCGATCTTTTTTTAGAAAAAAGAATAAGGGTCCGTATTTGTTTAATTTAAATACAAAAATTGGCTTCAACATAGAACTCACTACATTCAGGAATATAAAGCCCTTTAAAACCAGGGGATATACTATAAACATCTTTGATTATTTACACTCGGACTAATGTCCTCATCTTTGTTGTTATCACAATGTTTCGTTTTTGTTTTGTCTTTTTTTTTTTTTTTTCTCTCAGTCTTAAACTTAGTGGAAACGGCGAAACAATGTGAATGAGAACCGAGTTTTCTTCTTATCAAGTCGCTACACAACACCGTCCCAGTGTTGCCCACAGAGCCTTGCCTGGGGTGCAAAGTTTTCAAGGTCGTTATGTGTGATTGAATCTTCAAGAATGTGACAAACTAGAAGACGCTCCATATTTTATAATTGTCTGTATAATTGTGGCATATCCACATTTCTGATGGTTGGCTCTAAAGTGACGAACATCAGTTAGAAGGCGATTTAGGCAGGAAGAGAAGTGCCAGGCATCACTAGAGCCAGTGGGGTGGGATTCTGTATGCTTGAGAGAGAGCCTGTGTTCCGCTTTGTTAAGGTGATTGCACCGCAGGGACAGACGCCGATTTGAATATAGTGATTTTCCAAGCGTAGCTTAGATGTCGCACAAGGCACCCAGTGAGGATCGAACTCACTAGATGTGGCACAAGGCACCCAGCGAGGATCGAACTCACTAAGTCATAATTGTTCTAGCGAGATAAGCTTGCTAGAAATTACACCGCCTAAGAAGGGAAGAGTCAGACCTAAACTGGCTGTTGTAATGGTTGCTGATTCTTATCGAGTTGCAACACCACACCCATCTAGTCTTGGACACACACCCCTGCCTGGGGTGTTAAGGTTACAAGGTCGTTAAGTGTGCATGGATCTTCAAGATTGGCGCAAATTAGATGATGCTCCATAGTTTGTGATTGCCTACATTGGCTGTTGGGGTCATCATCACTGGCACATCCACATTTCTGATGGTTGGCTCTAAAGCGACCAACATCAATTAGGAGGCGATTTAGGTAGGAACAGAAGAGCCAGGCATCACTAGAGCCAGTGGTGTGGGATTCTGTATGGTTGAGAGAGAGAGAGGAGAGAGAGAGAGAGAGAGAGAGAGCCTGTGTTCTTACGTTGTTAAGGTGGTTGCACCACAAGGACAGACGCTAACTAGGAGCTCTGTTGTTCAATGGTTCGACTGAATGTAAAAAGCTGTGTCTTGGCTTGAACCTCTTTGTCATTGGTTCACCGCCATGACGAGGCTCAATTTACTGATAACTGAGTAATATTATATAATAAAAAATAAAAACAGATATCCCTACACAGAAAGAGTGGAACGACAACAATTTATAACTGCAGACAAAGGATTCACTTCACAAGACACCTGATGAAAGCACAGCGGTCGAAACAGTGTGAGGGCCTGTTACCAGTTTTCTTTTTAATTGATTTCGAAGTTTCCAAACTTGGATTTTAGCTCCAAAAACAATCAAAGAA